CCAGCATTGAAAGCAAATTTCCAGCAAGGAAAGTTGCGGATAAAACAAAAATTCAAGTGTGTTAGTTGGAGCCAGTAAGAGAATGGCGTGTTGAACATTGAATTCTAAAGAATTGAAAGCAAGAGTAAAGCCAGAAAAGTCAGATGATACTGTTGAGGATTCTAATGAGAAGAAAGATCTCAACACAAATTAAAATAGAGAATTAAGTAAAGATTCAGGTGAGATTAAGAAAAGGAATAAAAATGCGGAATCCGCCCGGGACAAGGCAGGGAATCTCCGGTCAGATTCCAAAAGAAAAGTTTGAAATATATTTCGAAATATTACAAGTCCCAAAAACACAAGACAAATTTTTGAACAACGAAAATTTCCTCTCAGCAAAACTCTTTTCGCGTGAAGATGCTCCAAGCAACGATTCTCGACAACTGGTAGTGGTCTACTGTGTAAATCGGGTATTTATTAATATTTTGATTTGTTCTAGATTTTTCCTTGATCCAGGATGTGGATCAAGGACGGGGGTTGGCGCCAAGGCGTCTGATTGGCTCGACAAAGTCGAGTCGAAGACATCTTGGCGCCAGATTTCATTTTTTGTGGAGGGGGTAAAAGTTCGTTGGCCTTTCCTTTCGCGGTTTTTCCTCTTGGGAGGTTTTTCCACCCGATTAATTTCTGTTCCCGCCGCGTCCAGGATATTAATTTATCTATTTATTAATAATTATAAATGAGTCCCCAACAAACCGGTTTCATGTTCTATTTTCTCGCCATATGATGCTTCAAAGCTGTTGATTTGAATGTTTTCCTTTCTAGATCTAGGGGATGTACAGTTTCATTGGGTGGACACCCAGACAATGTTAGAGTTTGTCGCAGAAATTCTCACAGCCATCCATGCGAGTATAGTTCATGAAGTGGTCATAAATGCGTGAGTTGTCTGAATGAGCTATGATACATCTTTCTTCGTTCTTGTAAATTACTGTACTGTACTGTACTTATTTATGCCCTGTATATAGGATATTGAATGCTGTTCGTCCAATAAAAATTCCTACGTCCGGAAAAACTGCGCACTGCAATGGACATGTGATGGTAAAGGGTTGGAATTCATCTGACTATTTGCAGGGTTCTTGATAGTTGATGGAAACATCTTAACGCGAGAAACATTAGCAGATTGAAAAAAAAAATATGTTGAAAATTTTTCCCCTCACTTTTACCAGCGATTGTACTGGGAAATTGGCCATAAAATTGTAATGTCCTCCCGCGCACACGCGCATTATTACGCGAATCTGACTGATATTATTAGTTTGGAAAGTATACTCCATGAAAAGCCTATCGAGAAATCTGTAGTTTTTCACTGGATCGTTCGTATCGCCAGGTTTTGAAATGGCTTCGCGGGGATAATATGAACTGCGAAATTTTCCCAGGAACCACAAAAATGCGGTCAAGATATCATGACGACGAATAACGTGTCGCATGCGCGCAATAGCGTACAGCACGGCTGCATGTATGGGTCATAATGAACTTCTGCTAGATCCATCACCGCAAAGCAAATGCAACAACACTTCCAGCAGATGTGCCACTCGTTTTCATCCTATATGGTATAGAGATAATTGAAGACAGGCGGGTAAAGCACATTATCGCGCTCGCGTTGATATCGTCACAACGTACAAACTCTTGTCGTGGTTTGGACCGCGAGCCTTGCTCTGAACCTTATATAAAAGTGAAAGTGTTCTCTGGCCGGTGAGCTCATACTGAACTTCAAGCGTCTGGTGGGAAGTGAAAACCCTGGTGACCTGAGGCGAGATGGGTACCATCATTGGTGGGCTCAACTGCAAGTTCGTGCGAGCTTGGGCAATCGTTCTAGTGCTGTGAAACCCTTGCATGCACATGCTTGCTTCCCGAAGATATTTTTTTGCCTTGATATGAATTGCAGTGGAGTATTGGAATTACAGAGAGGCATTCGTCTTCCAGTACCGTTTGATCGGACATTCGAATGGAATGCTGTTCTTATCCAGCAGTTCCTTCCGGCAATCTTCGTCGTCAATCTTCGCAAAACGGTGGATGAAACACCACAATTTTTTCAGTTTCGATCCGACATAACGAACTGTATAATATGAAGTGTTCATGCTTTATTACGAGACACTGACAATTTTGGTTCGTTTCATTAAGGAATGATTCAGTTACTTCGCAAATTCCTGCGCATATGTTCCGCGTTCCGAATGCCATCCCTTATAGATGACAATAACTGATCCTTTAGTATAACGCATCTACTGTAAAACACTTGAACTTTCTATACTGATGCAGTGCATCGAACCTACGAAAGTTGCTCGCCAACTCGCGTATCCAGTGCATACCAATTATGAACTGCAATCTTTCGAAATCCGCTGTTCCATATAGCTTTCATTGGAAATCTGGATTTAGGCTCCAATATGAAAATACGACCTCGAAAAGCACAATCATTTTAGTTAACCATCATTTCAGGGTTACTATCCGCACGATTTTTGAAAGAATATCCGCTTCTGAACGGAAGCTGTACAAATTCCGAAGTCTCTATTTTTACGCTGCGATTTAGCTGAGATGTAAATGCTTTATTGGACAAAAAATGCTGAGGATTGACCGAATGCTCTCATCGGTTATTTGAACGTTATGGCGTGCAGTATTTTAAAATTTAAATCTTCCATTTCACGTCAGCTTCCGGTTTCTTATTGTTCATTTAAAATGTTCATTTATGTTCATGTTTATTTTGTTCATGTAGCTGAAAATGAAATTTCCTTCTCAAGAAGCGTTTCCCAATAATTCTGCAGGAGGAAATTACACCAGTTCTTATGGAGATGGAAATGCATTTAAAGTGTAGCAACTGCTGATGCTGTCCCAATCCACACTCACCTCATGTTCTCAACAGTATCGCATTGTTAGCTACAGCAGTTCAACAGAAAACATTAAAGAGAAAACGCATGTTTTGTTGACCTCTGTACATGTAATTGAAAGGAATCTTCAGATGCTAAGATTCTTTAGTTGTCCAAGTTGGGGCTTATCAATATTTTTGAAGACGTTTAGTATTTCAAAATGACGTACCTTTGATAATCCTGTGTCACTGCTTCATGAGTCCATCACAGTACCTACCAACTGTGCAGCTTATTCATGCTTCAACTGATGCCGGAAGAATATCTGCAACCAAGCTCAAGGTCTCAACTGAGACGGAACAGCCCACCTCAACCTCACTACTGTATACCGTACGTATGATACAGTACTCAAGTAAGCTGTGTACCAAATTGTGTCTCATAAAATTTTGATGAAATCTATCCCCAAGTAAACCATTTTCAGTGGGAAACATTTGTAATACTGTATATTGAACCAAAGATGCATTTCACGCCATGTTTGTTGACATACATTTCATTATTTTGGGTGTAAAACATTTATCAGAATTTAAAATTTGACGAACTGTACTCAAACTACATATTTTTCTTTTTTCCCTATTTTAAAATTGTTTCACGGAATTTCACATTTCTATTACAATAATTACGGAAAATCCTGAATTTATAACATGATGATACGCCTGCCTGTTACAGAAAAAAAATAATTGCGCACGTTACTTCCAAGAAGATGGTTTCAATAAACCCTTCCCTCATCAAGTCTTGCCAGAAAGTACGTAGTTCCCCTTGGACAATGACACTTGAAACTTAACATTTGTTCTTAGAAGTCTGGAATCATCAATTTCTGTCCTAATTCATGATTGATTCACTCAAAGTCAAAAACTATTTCAATGTGCGTTGATACACTGATGAAACTTTCGTGACGCCCTTTCAAGCAGCCTTAGAGGTCTTCCTTCCTGTTCTGCCGCAATCGCACAAGACGGCGTGTGGAGGTCGTTGCGGTCAACGTATACAGGGTAGCAACGTCGAACACCGCCATTTCGCCACAACGCCGAAATCACGCCATCAAGTTCTCGGATATAACAGCCCCCGGCAATAAATTAAATGCGTCACTGAAGCCACTTGTTTTCTTTTTCTCCCACAATAACGATAGAACAGCAGTGAATGCATGAACTAAAAGGTATCCGACTATCCTTCCCGTCCGAAGGAATCGGTCATTGAGATTAATATCCAAATTTCCTACGGCCGAAGACGGGTATGAAGAATATCAAGCGCAATGAATGAATAGAAACCCAAGTAGGAAATACGTCTGACACGTGAAGTTCGCGAAAATTCTACAGAAGATAAAACTGTTTCAGATCATTCCTTCTGAACCTCATAACTTTCTTCCCCACGCTTCCAAAAACTAGCCATAACCATATTCTTCGCAATCGATCAAGAAAATTTGCGATTGAATTAGGCAGAGCATAGAAAACGGCGATTCGTAGCAGTTATTTTACGAACCAATCCCAACTGTAAATACTTTACATATGATCCTTACTTATCCAGGATAAAAGATTTCACAGGGAAGTCATTTTACGACGAGAACTCCAGTCGACCAATATCGAATAAAAAAGATGAATAGAATTTGAATTACTTTAATTTAAAGTGATGTACCAAGAAATCACTTCGTGTGCGCTGATCAATTCCTACTTGGGCAACAGTCGAAAATGGAGCGAAAACAGCAATTTTTATACAGGAAGAACCTGCTTCGAAAATTGGGAGAAGGAAAAAAATACCGCCAAAACCAGGTTAGACTCGAACAAACGAAAAAATAAAACTATACGATTGACAAGTCATAACCGTCACAAAAGTCAGGCGCAAATCAGCGCAGCACGATCAAGTCAACCGTCCCGAGGCCGCTCTTCTCGGAAAACATCACAAAGAACTTCTATCACAGCATCATTTCAACATTTCGCATTATTTCTCACGTCCAGAAATCGCAGCAATATATCGTTTCCACACGCATCACTCATCAAAACGGAACTCGTAAAAAATGAAAAATTCATTCCATCAGCGTCATTGCCATCATTCTCATCAACGCTTCATTGCAACATACGTCAACATCAACATCACATGCTGAGAAGTGCGGCCTAGGCTCAGTCACCTGTCACGCTCACGCTCGTCTGCACAATCCCGACTCGCTACTTTGAAGGAACACGCGGACCTTGGAAGGGAAACGGAAAAAAGCATTCGAAGCATTCCGGCTAAAATTTGAATGACGGTTCGGGTTGGCCATCTTCTCCAGGCGCGACGAATCGGTCTCCGACGCCTTCCAAGTTCACTTCATCTCCCTGATGAACAAAAAACAAAAGAAAAATTCAACGACGACAATTCATTAAAAGTAGGCAAATTTCTTAATGGACTTCTCCCTACAAATTTGGGACAAATATGCTCTATTTCTCAGGCAAGAAATGTTGATTTTTCTTCAATCCAACATTTAGTTCCGAGTGTTCTATTGAAGATCAAGCACGTCTTCCACTTACTTTTGCTGTGAAACTATTTAGTCAAAGGTTTCTTTCCATTAACCCAGTCAAAAGGCGGCGATTTTCCGAGAAAAAATGTTGGACCAAACAATTTAAGTAGTCGATATCGCGGTTTTTCCAGAAGGTTTAATACAAAAATATATAAAATTAAATCTCAAATGGAGGAATTTTTTCAAAACTCACGTCGTCGACTTCGGCGAAATACTGCTCAATGATGTCATAAGCGAGCTTGTATATATCAACGTTCTCGTGATTTTGAAGCGACTCAATCTTGTCAAGCCCGCCACACTCCTCTATCAATCCGCAGACGGTTTCCATCTCCCGCTTTTTGTTTGCTAGCTTCAGGATGTTATTCAATCCATCCAGGATGACTTGTATGACCTTGGCAGAAAGATTAACGATACAGAAAACGCTGAGGTGTCGAAATCGAGGCATGACTCTTTTGGCCTCCAAAACTTATGGTATACGTACTGCACCCTTCAATTAACCCACGACCAACGGTTCAGAAATTTGTTTTCCTACGACTTCCCACATGAAGTACTGTACTTTCATGATAAATTCAAGATCAAACTTCACGCCTACGATTTCCATCGAAGGCATGAACAAGGCGTTCCGATTTTCTTTGCATGATTGAGTTCACTTTCATGCCAAGTACAGTTACGCCAAAATTCAGCAGCAGACCAACAGATATTCGTGGAAATTCCCAAGTTCCAGAATGAAAACATACCTGCGCGTCTTTGCACGTGAGAAGGGTGCACATCGGCGGGATCACTTTCTCACTGATCAGCAGAGCAACTTGTTTCGGATTTCCAGAGATGGTCAAGTTACTTATAGCCCAAGCAGCTTCTTTTTGAGTTTGGAAATCACTCTGGAATGAATTACAACTCGAAGTTAGGTACATCTTCGAATCAAACACGATTTCTTGACTCATTATCAAAATATTCCCAACGATCGCCAAGTTTCAAATAATCATGAATTCATTACTGATGTCTACAAATTGTAATAACCCAACTTGAACATAATCTTTCCTGGATAATCGTTTACCATATACAACTTTCGAATTTTGAACTACGGTGAATCGAGGAATTCTAAGGAAAAACATCAGTCGTAAACGCTACTCAAAATATGGAACTCACCTTTCCCAAGTGATGAATGATCATAGGGATCAAACCAGCATCGATGACAGCTTGAACTTGACTTTCATTGCCAGCTGTAATGTTGGACAAAAACCACACCGCTTCCTAAGAAGAAAGTTTTGGCATGTGAGATAGCTGAACATACCACTATTTATTAAAAGCGGATAATTACTTTGCACACTTTCTCCTTCGGGTGTTGCAGAAGTGCAGGAAAGTGTGAGAGGACCTGGCAATTGAGAACAGTCTGCGTCTGATCGTCAGATCCCGTGACTATGTTACCCACGGCGCGAAGAGCGGCCGTTTGAACCTTGATCTCTTTATGGGACAATAGAGGCACCAGACTTGGCACTATGTCGGCATCAATAACCATCTGAATTTGCTCGTTGCCGCCATCAAGCAAATAGCTCAGAGCCCAAACGGTATCGACAAGAATGTTTGTATCAGAATGATGAATCAAGATGCGCAACGCCGGCAGGATTTCACGGATTGTCTCAGCAGAAGGAGCAGGATCTTTAGAACGACAAACGTTCACGATAACCCAAGTGACGTTGCGAAGAAATTGTATGGAAACATTAGGAGAAATGAAGGCAAGTAAGGGACGGATGACTCCCAAGGAAATAACGTAATCCCTAAGCTGAGGCCCATCGCCGATGATGTTTCCTAGAGCCCAAACGGCTTGTTCGCACACGTTCTGATGCGGGGAGAACAACAGCTTCAAAAAGAGCGGTACGGCATTCGCTTGAACCACCGCTTGGGTCTGCGCAGATGTTCCAGATGCAATATTCGTGAGAGCCCAAGCAGCTTCAAACTGAAGATTCGGGCTGAAATAATCAATTTGAAACGACAATGATTAGAGGACCCATGGATATCAGTTAATTACTCCAGAGGGTTTAGACATTACGTCTCTACACCAAGTCAAAATACCCTCTTCCTCGCCAATAGGCAAAAATTGTAACAATTAACGCATCAGCAAACTACAGTACATAATTTCGCCGCAAAAATATCAGTTGGATAACGAGCGAAGAACCCTTTGGGAAAACTCGGATCAAAATATACTCACTTGTCGGCACGCTCCAAACATTTGACGAGGATAGGCAAAATCCCACTTTGAATCAAATCATCAATCGGTGGATTTCTGTCAGACGAGAGTAACTTTCGAGCAGACTGAACAGCCGTCAGCTGAACCTTCGAGTCTTCACTATTCGCATCATTGACAATGGCGCGCAGATTCACGGGAGTTCCTCCTTGGATTTCTTCGTCATCTACAGACACTGGTTATTAAAATTCGAAGACGGAAGACAAAGATCGTCAGCTCACCGGTAGAGTCACTCGTCGGAACATTTCGCTTTTTCTGCAGCGTTTCCTCTCGTTTGTTCTTCCGCAATTCGACGGCCATCTCGCTCCGCCGGCGCCTCATTTCCTGAATCGTTCATAATTAGCTTATCAAGAGTACTTTCGACGTATCAGCCGCTAACTCACATCTGCATCTTTTCCTTTGTTCTTGAAGTGCTGGATACGCGATTTAGCACTCAATGAATCAGCGCTATCGGCCATGATTTCCCTCAATTACAAACGTCGATACTCGCGATATCACAAACCGCGCACCAGAAACTGCAGAATCCAAGTTTCGGACTTCCGAAATCAGAGAAACCTACGAAGACACCGATCCGAAACAGTAAAAGCATCAATAACGGACTTCTACAGCCCAGTCGAGATTAGCACGGGAAAATCCTTCACATCCTGGTACGTGACCTTACGTTAGTCCGTTGGGAGTTTCCAGACTATTCGACAACCGCTCGAAGACGGAGCCATGTTGTAATCCCATCACCGATGAAACGTCACAGTGCGCGGTACAGTACTCAACCATCGGAATCACCTCAGACTGTACAATACAGTACTGTACTGTACTGCTGAATACAGCGCAGCCGACCAGCAGCGGCAAATGATCCAGTTATCCAGCAAGACCTTGAATAACTTATCTAAAAGCAACTAAAGTAATGATAATCTATCAATTTTTCACAGTCGTATAAGGTCCTGTGTTTAATGCCAATTTTTGTGTTTCATGAATAGTAATTTTTATGTCGATCGGAAGGAATTCTAAAAATACTATGGGGTGATTTTACAAAAAAAAGGTTAACTATGACTCATTTTATTTAAACGGCTCAAATCACATCTCGTTTTAACTTGAACTCCCATTTTAAAAATTTAATTTCTTGTGCCTCATTATTTCTTGCACTGAAAGCAACAATAATACATCGTCTCGAACGCTTTAAATAAATTTTATTGTATTTTCAGAGTGATAGAGCAAGTACGAGCACTTTTAAAATTTAGCGTGTTACATATCAGTGCGGCTGTTCTTGGCTAATGCTGGTTTTCAAGTTCACTGTGAAGAAAATATGCAAACTTTTCACTATGCCATATACAGTATATTTGCTGATGGATATTCTAAAGTTGCTTGTTATGTATTGTATTAGTCAATCATGTATATTTTCAAGTACAGTGGAGTATTGTATTTAGAAAATGAAACACTCCATGTTATTTCTTCGAGAAATATCTGCTACATATATATATATGAGCATAAGTAAACCTTCATTTTTTTATACACAGAGTAAACTTCAGGAAGTCGACTGATTTATTTTAGTGATTTATTTCAACCATACTTCATTGAATAATCCATCATGCACCTTCATTGAAGCCAAATGAGTACAGAAAATTAAATCTTTCATGAATGTCATAATTTTGGGTTATTATCAAACTTCAGATCAGCGTATGAATGACAACCATAAAAAGTACTCACACAATTTCCAACTTTTACCAATTCCATTTCTCAAGTTTCCCACATTCTATAGATTTATAGGTCCTGCACATTGGTGAATTCACTGGTTCTCTTATTTTCATGACCAATATCTAGCATCAGTTTTGTTCAACATACGGAAAGTGATTAGTATGCAAACTATACAGTATCAGAGTTCAAGATACAGTAGTTTCAAGCTGTCATACACTCCTGAAGGCAGGGCTGTGCTGGATACCTTGGCTAAAATTAGACAGGTAAATTTGGTATCATCCAAATATTACATCAAAATTGATGAATCTGTTTGATGAATTAATAAAATTAATTTTTGAAAGACCATTCAAGAACTTCAATGAAACTGACGTAACATTTGCTATAGGGATATATTTATTTCGTATATAACTATCACATTATACACGCCTCACAATACTGTACTCTAAATTTCTTCGGAATATTATATCCGGTATTAAATTTCAAAAAATTTTTCTTAGTTTTCTGGTATTGCACACTAGAAAGGTATGTCCTTCACCTTGCCAGGACCTTATATATGCATGCTATGTCGTGGTACTCCGCCAAATTTGATATGGGCACCACTGGTTCAACAGAAAGTTATTTTATTTTCCAGTCACACAGGGGTTTCCTGGAATTACTCAAGACACTCAGAAAACCGTACCACTTCAGAAAGAACTCGAATACGAACACAGAAATATGCATGAGCTTTCATATCCCGTTCTGCAAGAAAAAAGCCATAAGTTGACATGGCAAAAAACATGATGTAGAATCAAAGATTTAAAATATATAAAAAGGTATGCAAAAATATTCTGCTGCATGGAACACGTTTTAACCGAAAATTCGGCTACGTCGTCTTGTTTCTGACTAGATATGGACTCCAAATAAGCCGTTTTGAGTCAATCTCTCGCGATGAGGAATTCCGCGAAGATAACTTTGCCATGTAGTTATCCAAAATGTCCTAGAAATGAAAAAACGAAAATACCATCAGCGAATCCAACTAAAAAAATGGTGTCAATGACTCACCTGACGTTTGACAATAATATGGCGCCCTTTCCAATACTTGAGCAACCCAAGTGCTTGCAACGTGCTAACAATGTCGGAAGAGTGGATTCCCGTTTCCTGGCTCAAATCTGAAATTTCAGAATGGAAAATAAAGTAAACGAAGATTCTTTCATAGGCGATGTAGACAATTTCGACTAGCCTTTGAAAGATATCGTTTGACCCTCGAATTTGCACATATAATCAAGCACGATGTCTTTCCAGTAATTCCGGTACGATATCAATCCCAAGTCAGACAATGGCTTTTCCGGAGATCCAATTTTGCCTTCTTTTCTCGTCAGTACATAGCCTAGAAATATGTAACGAAAGCACAACAAGATATGTAAAGACGAATCAAATGTCTTCAGGAAATCGTCTACTCACTCAAATCAATCAAAAGGCGACCAAATCCTTTTCTTTGGTGTGGAGGTAAAATCATAATGCACGAAACGTTGTAGTTGAGAAACGAACTTTTCTCCTGTTGGAAGATGACACGTTTTCAAGGGGGTTTTATCCAAGTGCAATCAATTTTGAACTCACTTTGCTAAAATAACCTATGATGTGATGACCTTCGTTATCAATTAGGGTCAAAATATAAAACAGAAACGGCTCCACGTCGAAGTATAGCGTTTTGTGATCCAAAAACAATTTGGCCAGGAGACATAAATTTTGACAGTAACCAGTCTGATTGCTGCCATCCACTTCCCAGATTCCCAATTTATCTTTCCTGAAATTAATGGAACTGAATTATACATCTAGGGACAATCATAAAAAATAATTTACCTGTAAATCTCATCGCCCGGAGGGTGTCTCCAGACACATTTTTGCATGTGTCTACTAAGTGGAGTCCGCGAGTTCATGTGTTCCAAGCAGAATTCACACATGTATAATTTTGGAATTTGCGGAACCTTATCTTCCGGATATGGACTCTGATACCAAGTTTTCATCTCGTACTTTCCAAGTTCTATGTACTCCAAACGTCCACAATTCGTGTAAGGTTCCATTTGCTTTTCCTGCAACAAGAATGTTTTCATCAAAGACGATTAAAATCGCGTAAGGATTTGCGAGATATGAAATTTTAGATACGAAACATAAAAACTGGAAGAGAGGTATCGCCGGTTATAAATTGATCGCGATGCGTAAGTTCATGAAGTACTCAGCGATTCATCAGATACATTTTTTGTAACACTTTACAGCTTTTTCAAGAATTATCTTATCATTACAGCCCAACCTTGCTGATTATGAGATCACACAAGTGGATCATTTTTTTAATCAAGTCATATACTTCTCTAGGTGGGTCTTGAGACACGAAAACTACAGTATTTCCAAAGATAAATCATCAAGATGATTTCGGCGCCACTTTCATGCAAAAGATTTCGAATACTTCGATTAATACAATATTCTCAGTAACATTTGTAATAGTGTCATAGATATTACAGCGATTTTTCGCTGAAAAGACAAGGGAATTCATTTCGGAAAATTTCGTACTCGCGACGTAAGATTTGAAGGTGCCCCTCAAATATAGTGTAAATTGCGAAGGACGAAATTCCTCATGGTCGAGATGCAATTGAAGAAAATCCATGGTTAATGAAAAAAGCATTGCTTCGAGGAATTGACTTGGATGGATGTGACTCGGAAAATTGAATATCCAAATGAGTTTTGCAGTATCCATCGTCTAAGTAATGAGAACGGCAGTGCAAAAATAAAAAATGCGCATCGAAACCCAGAAATTTAAATTTCAGCTCACCACCACTTCACTAGCAGCAGCCAAGGCATCCATAAACATTTCTAGGTCGTCCTGTAATGTCAACCCATTCAAATCCAGCACGCGATCCTTGGGTGCATCGGGTGCTACAACAGCAAATTTCATATGGCTCCTTTCCTTCGTCAATCTGTCTTTGGCACCATTTCGTAGGTCAAAAAAAGTTTTGCAGGCTTCACGCCGGTCATGATTTGTGATCTCTTTGAAGGTATTGGCAAGAGTTGAAGGGCCAGGTTTCCGACTCAATGCTAAAAGCTTTTCCGAAATTTCTTTCAGACGTCGTTCCCTTCCTCGTTTCAGTTCCTGAATCACAAAATTAAAGTGAACGCAATACATTTATTAAAAACGGATGTAATACCGGATTCCAGAGCATACAAGAAGCGTGCGTTTCTTGTCTTGACTCGCAAAATTACGACAGCAGCTCAGAATCACAAATGCCTCTGATTCGAATGGAAACGCTCTTTCCATGTGATGCATCAAAATGTCAAATTCTAAAAATATAATCGATGACTGAACTATTCGTAAACATTCCTCCAGTGAGCGTATTGATCAAGTTCCGAATAATCTAAATTTATTAAATAAAAATAAATAAATTAAGTTGAGAGAAAATACATCGAAGTTTTCATATGCTGCTCTTCTTTTTTCATTCATTATTGTCATGTGGCATCAAGTATTGCCTGAAATTTTGATTTCATACGAACGAAGATTATGGGTTGTTACCGCAACACTTCATATTCTATTAAATATTCCAAATCGAAAAATGATTCTATACTCATACCAGTCAGTGAAAAAGTTGAACACATTTTGAAACAAGCGTCAGTTCGTATCAAGTTGACCGCAGAGTTTTTCGATCACTTAAAACTGAGCAAAGTTGGACATTCCGAATCCAAGGCATCTTATTTCATTGGAATACAGAACTTTTCGTAAAGAATTACCATAACTGAATCTTTCGAGAGCTTGAAGAAAACCGGACAAGCGGATACAAGGGCGTGCTTTGAGTAGGCGCCACTCAAATGGTTACTGGAATCACACGCAGGAACCGGACATCTTCGCTCCTCTGTAGGATGGTTACTGATTTCTTCTGCTTTCTTGCTAGCGGCACGACCAAGAAGCTTATTTCCTCCGAAAAACTTCGAGCCCGGTTTTCGCGTCGCACTTCCAGCTGCTTTCGCTCGTCGGCCATCTGAGAAATGATCAGCAATAAGAGCCGTAAAACAAGTTCGAAAAGAATGTCGTACTCGGATGAAAGAATTGAGTTACGCGAGATTTGAAGAAATAAGCACCCGAGAATTGAAGCCCATGCATCTGAAACAAGACGATAATTTTTTCTACCCTACGATGATTAACCTATTTTAGTGGAAAGCTCTCGTGAGAACTTGAAAAAATATCAGCTTATCTGTATATCGAAGAACAGTACTGACCAGTTTCAAATAAACCTACAATTTTATACATTACATAGAAGAGGCGCGATTAGTGAACAATTTACGTTGAGGTTGCGTTTTTGATACTTGATACTTAGGTATCTGCTTTTTTGCTTACTTAGTTCTTCATGACTTGCTATTTCAAAACATGATGGTTTACAATCACTCCATACAACAGTGTCGCAGTTGATGCATATAATTCGCACCAGCGGTAAGTTGATTATAAGTCTATCACAGTTGTACTGAGAAATACATTATGGTAAATTGCTTACAGATAAACAAAAAAGCTTTTGACGGAGCGATGCGGAGCTACTGCGTTAAGAAAAAGAACTAGACGCCAACACGTCATAAAATATTGCGAATAAGTTTCAGAAATAATGACAAAAATGCGTTACGTCGTCGAGAATATTGAAAAAATCTTCAGCTTTTCGAAAAATTGTTCCAGCAGCCAAATTTTCAAGAAACGGCCATTTTCTTGACGGGAGATCAAAATTCGTCCATTTAACTGAAGCAAAAACATTCGGAAAAAAATCGGTGGTGGCCAAAATCGGTCGTGTGAGACACGTGAAGACTAACATCCGTTGTACCACTGCACGTAATACATTTTCAGGTACATTTATAACAGATATAAAATAAATCCATTGTCTTCACCGTATGAATATCAGGTCAAATGCGCAGTTCCGTTGTTTTTTATTGATGGAATGTCAACCAAAATGTTGGGGACATAGAGAAAAATTAGAACAGCCCGAGGGCTTCAAAACTAAGTCACCGAGGGAGAAGAATATAATCTAGAACCCACCGTCTGTATCAGATTCCGATCTACCAAGAGATCCATGAATGAGACGACTTTTGCGAACAATAGTCGATCGGGTTCTTTTCATAGGGGTGACGTACTTCTGCTCCTCCTCATCTTTATCAACATCTGAATCTTCAGAAGACTGGGTAGTTTTTTGACGAGCAGTAGGACGCATTTTCGGGGCCTGATTTCGCTTTTTAACTGGTGAAGGAGACGGTGGCGGTGCCAAGGGTTCTACCTTGGGTTCTGACTTTTTCAGCTTTTCTTTCGGAGCTGGAGCAGGCAGAACTTTAGCTGACGCTCGAGTCTTCGGTACAACCTTCTTGGTTGGCTTCTTCGGTGTTTCTTGCTTTTTATTCTTCGCCAACTCACTTTCATCCGAATCGCTGGAGGATTCCGACGCTGTGAATAAACCAAATAACAAAACATCGCTCAACTAATGTTTCAGCCACAAAGAAGAAAGCGTCTTCTATAAAAGCACTCAACAATACGCTACATCAAAATAAACCAATAATTTCATCTGTTTACCAAATTTCTCGGAGCAAGATTCTGGAAATATGGCTTCAATTTGTGATTCGTTGAATACTTAATTTTGAATGAAGAGTATTTCTGACAAGAAATTTGTTCTTTACCCTCTAACCTCACGCATAAAATACTCGAGCAAATGATAGTCAACATAAGCGACGGATATCTGATCAAGTGAGACTACTGATCATAGGTGATTCAAACGTCGTCAATCCAGTGACTGCGTAATTTTTCTTTTCCAATGCGTCGCAAGTAAATCATCTTTATCAACAGGTGAAAACCTAGACAGAAACCGAGAAAGGTAGACGCCCGAAATTTCGCTGGAACTTACAACTACTGGACGACGTCTGACTCGCAGATGAGGATCGAGTTCGCTTCTTCGCCTTCGCCGGAGGTACAGAAGCTCCATTCGTTTTACTGACAGGAGGTGGAGCAGTGATAGTTTGAACAGGATCTTTACTTGGGTTTTTGTTCCCCTGGTCGGTGTGCTTCTTGGATCGCGCTCGATTTTCAGACGGCGGTGGAGAGGCAGACTCCGACTCACTATTACTAGAATTCTCGGGGCTGAAAATACTCCTCGTTCCAGCATCCTTGCGACTGGATCTCTCCTCTTGTTTCCTTCGAGGTTTCGTGGTTTCAGATTTCTTAGAAGGTTCTGTTTCTTTCTTTTTCTCGGCAGAACTTGAGGTTGATTTCTCCGGCTTTGGCGGTCGACCTCTACCTCGATTGGCACTGGAAGCTGAAGAATCTTTCGCCTTCTCATGACTGGAAGTAAATCGGCCTGAGAGTGAATCATGAACTTCGCATAAACAAATTACTCTTGTAGCTTACCTTTTCGATTTCTCTTTACTCGTAGATTTTTCCGATACAGGCTTTTCACGCTTTGATTTATCTACAGGGTCAGATTTTTGCTGTTTCTTGGAAACGCTGTTAGGCTTTTCTCGCTTCAACTTGGGAGGAGCTTCTTTAACGGTCTTCTTAGACTTCTCCTGCGTTTTCTTTTCAGATTTCTTATTCAATGGAGTGGGAGGCGAAGAATCAGAGTCAGAAGAGCTAGATGAAGATGATGAACCCGAGGAGGAAGAAGACGACGACGATGAAGAGGCTCCAGACGAGGATGATTTCGACGCACCAACGCATGACGAAGATCCGGAAGAACTAGACGATCCAGACGTAGAAGATGCCGAAGATACACTCGACAAACTTCTCCGCTAATACAATAAAGAGCTTGATAAATTTTTGGATAAATGTACTCATTTCGAATGAATTACCTGATGCGACATCACCTCCGGGAATCAAACTGGTATGCACCAGCTTCAGGTAAACAAAGTCATCGCTCAAAATAAATCTGTCCCGTTTTTCGAAGCCTGAAAGTGCGTACCATGGATCACTATTTCTAAACGTTTCCACTAGTCAATTGTACGATCTTTCGTATACGTTCACAATATTTTCACGGACGCTACACTCAACTTCCGAATCGCAAAGGTTCATTTTCGAAAGTCTTTCCTTTCGTACCCGAGCTCGCGTGCCGTGAGCGATGTGGTTCTCGCTTGTTTTCCTTTGGCTCATTAACCAATAGGTCCGCGAAGGCCGATTCGCAGCGCTCGTCTAATAACGGCAACTCTTGGAACAAGACACTTCGCGTTTCAGGAATCTAATACAGGTCTCGCTATAAATGAGTTAGGCGGCGGCGTACCATAATTTTTAAAACCTTCGTACGCTCATTTCTCTCGAATGCAGACGTGCACATGGAAGTCCCAAGTTTATGAATATTTCTGATTTCGCAATGTCATCGTAGCGCCATGTAAGCCATCTACTACGGGACTCGTTCACGAACAGTTATAGAGCGACATCTACTGGACAAACATGGACTACCCTGCACAAGAGGCCACTGCGCGGGCTGCCTAGGCGCACTGAACTCTCCGCTGCCCCGTTCCCGCCAATTTTATGCGAAGTGGGATTGTCCCACGAATGATTGAGATGAGTGCAGTTGAGCTCTGGAAGTTTGGCATGCTGGTTCGCTGTTTGAGTTTCTGAAGTTAGACTTCAAACAGTAATTGTTCAATCATTCGTGGAAAGAGCGATTAATTAAATAATTTGCGTTAATTCCTTTTGAATCACAGAAAATGCGGCTTGTGTGCTCCGTTCAAATTTTCTGCTTTGGAGTCCGGAATCCTTTGCAGACGGAGAAGGATGGACCGAAGCAAAACTGTTCATTTAACCGTGAAGAACAACGTTACCGAACGTGCCTGTGTGGCATGGCGTAAACGTTTTTGGAAATTAGCCTTCGCTTCACTTTTTTTATGTGGTATCATATCATACATTCATTGGGGCGATGTTCAAGTTTTTGGACGCCCTAATGTGTGTTCCCTGACTGATCCAGAGGTCTCGGATAGTGCTCTCTTGAACGGAACAGCACGACGCATTCATGTGAAAGTAAGTCTTCAAATGGACCAATCAATTCAGGATAAAGTAATAAGGCTTTGAAAAATTACGTAGGGAACGTCAAGACATTTACCATCAATCATCATCATTGGAGCGAAGAAGTGCGGAACAAGAGCTCTACTGGAGATGATGAATTTGCATCCGAGGATCCGTAGAACCACTCGAGAAGTGCACTTCTTCGATCGTGACGTTAATTATCTAAATGGCCTTCCGTGGTATCGCAAGAGAATGCCTTTTTCTTTTCCGGATCAGCTCACCGTGGAGAAAACTCCCGGATACTTCGTTTCTCCTGAAGCACCTGTTCGTATCCGCGCCATGAACAAAGATGTGAAACTTCTGCTGATTGTTAGAGACCCCGTTATACGGACAATTTCGGATTACACCCAGGTACGAAACCAAAGGCTTTTATCAGCTGTCCATTAAAAATCTCCCCGAAGGAATGACCCAGAGGACACATTGTATTTCGGGATCAAATTTTTCCGCTTTTGAAGCATGACGTTATTTTTGAGATTTTTAAAAAGACATCGTACAGGATTGCATTCAGGCTGAAGAAACAATAAATGGTTGAGGTCTAAGTTCGTTTTTTGCACAGTGTAGTGTAAAAGCACCCGATCATTAATTACGAAATGTCGGAACTGTAAAATCTTGCGCAAAAACACGCAGCGAAAGCCCCAGTATCGATTACCGCTTATACACGAAATTTTCCTGAAATTTTTTCCATGTACAGTACTTCCAAAATTATGCAATTCTAACGAAAAGTCTGAAAAGGGACGAGAAATGCATACGAATTATAATGGTATTATTAAAGAGCTTTTTCTGGTATTTTTCTCCTTTCACCGTTAGTAAACGCGATCATATTCATTTAAATTTTGGTTTTTCGCAGGTCGTCATGACGCGAAATCAGGATGAAAACGATCAAGCCGAAGATTCATTTCCGCAGTTCGAAGATATGGTGTTCGATGTGAATGGCGAGGTGGACACTTCGTACAAAGCAGTTCGGACATCAATTTATGCACGCTTCTTTCCTACGTGGCTTGAATATTTCAAAAGAGAACAAATCCATGTGGTTGATGGCGAAAATCTGGTGAGTTTTTCATCATAGTTTTTCTTTTCAACTTTTTTTAGATCAAATTGTTTTTCTGCAGGTCACGAATCCCTTCGAGGAAATGCGGCGGGTGGAAATCTTCTTGGGCGTGGAGCGCATTTTAAAGCCCAGCAACTTTTGGTTTAGTGAGGAGAAAGGTTTCTACTGTCTGAGAAACGAAAATGGTGACAAGTGTTTGGGACCATCGAAGGGAAGGAAGCATCCGAATGTTTCGAAAGAAGTTGTTTCAAAGTTGCGCGTGTTTTACAGTCCGTTTAATGTGAACTTTTCCAAATTGGCCGACATTAATTTCACGTGGCTCGTGTAAGTTTGTCAAGCATTCCGAAGTTTTCTCTGCCGCTCAAATTGGGCAGTCGTACAAATCAGTCGACGCTGTGATGTCGATTCATGAAACGTGACATTTTTCTCATAGTGTAACCGTTGCCATGTTTGAAGTCTAAGGTTTTCGAATTCATTGTGATTTTGAAGTTGTTCAAAAATTGTTGATATTGACGTTCCAAAGAATCTCTGCTATTGCAAATGGTGCTTTCCTAAAACGCGACCGTTCAGCATTTTGTCTTTCAGAATTGATTAATCAAGGTTCGACCGGGTCAAGGTGAACATTATTCCATATCTTTTTTTGTGCAATAAAATCCTAGGACCGGGTTCGTTGTCTTCTTCATCTCAAATTCGCTGCTCGATGGATTTTAGAGATTTGTTTTAATGTGTAGTACTGTATTTGGCTTTTTTCCAGTATGCGGCTGTGATAAAAAAGTGTGTTCGTCGTGGTTTTCCCACATTTTTTACAATGGGAATGTTGGGGAATTTCCTTTATTCCCTGGAAACCCGCATTATCGGTGAGTGAGGTGTTAACGAAAACGTGAGTTCATATTTCAATAAGATGACTGAAAATTTGCAGCTGCCATATTCCTAACCTTGAAGATGAACGGTAACATACCCTCTCGAAGATCAGGATTTTACTGCGACGATGAGCATTTGAAAGAAACTGCTGTTGTACCGAACACAATTTCGGACGTTGTGTTGCTCGTTGTCTCAATTTGCTCAAGTTCTCTGCTGGTGAGTTTCTGCTAAACTTCAAGAGTATTTGGACAAGTTCTACTTATTCTTAGGCGAAATTCGCGAATATTCTGACCGATTTTAAAGGAATGATATCCCTTGAAGCTATTAAAGCTTCAAACCTGATCATTTTCTAATCTTTAATATTGGGGAATGTGTAAATTCGTGTCTTTTAATTTTAGCAAGCTTTCAACCCGTATTCTCCGCAAATCGATGTTGTTACGGATAAGAAATCGTTTTTCAACTTCAAAATAAAAAATTTCTCCGCTTAGCTCCGAATCTTCATGAAATTTTGCTTCTGGGAAATTTTCTACTATTGTTGTTCACCTTGTGAAACGCGAGAACGTTTTCCATTCTTATAAATGTATAATTGATCACTCGTCGTATCAAAAATTTAGTTTCACCAGTATATTATACTTTTAAATTTTAGGTGATCCTGAATGAAACCTGGCTTGCATATTGCGCTGAAAAGAAGAATTTGTCCCTCAAAATACTGTACAAAAGGATGATTCAACCCTTCACGGTTTTGACGCTTTGTTTCGTGTACTCCGAAACGGTGACTGAAACCTTGAAACTAATCTTTGGGATGCCCAGGCCTCATTTCTTCCACACTTGTCAGCCCAACTTCCAAGATCTGGATTGCTCTCAGTAAGTCTGCCGTTTTATTTTCAGTGTTCTAACGTAGAATTTAAGCGACGTTTTAATATGTACTGTCTACTTGGTAAAAATGAATGCAATTAAAATTTCTTGAGTCGGTGATCACTGCTTTTTTTTGTTGGAAGTTATTATCTCGTTTCTGTTAATTTCAACTCCGAGCCATGGATGACGAGGTGTAGAAGTCGGAAATGAGAAGTTCCCTGACCTAATACAACTCGTGTATAGATAAGAATCCAGTGCTTCCATTCGTATATCTTATCTTTATATGATGCGATCGGAAGATGTTCATGGATTTTCTTACACAGGTACGTGACGGATTATACGTGTACATCCGGTGCTACACATGACCAAATGGTTGATGCTCAGCAGTCATTTCCGTCAGCGCATGCTTCATTCTCTGCAACTTCAGCTGCTGCAATTATCGTGGGTACCTGTAAAAGAAGCACCTGGGGAAATCGCGCAGAAAACTTCATAAAAATGATTGCGTTTGGGCGTTATGATTTGAAAACTCGACTATAGACTTAATTCATCTGGAGGCATAATTTATATTGTTAATGAGGATCAGGTCAGATTCAATTCCCTCTTAAGAAAATTGTAATCCTAAGAGTTTCTAGATCGCACTTTTATAGGTGTTGCGCTTGGGCTTCAGATCTCATGGCGAAATTTATGTTCGCGTATTTTCTCAGCTCAATCAAAATTGAAAAGAATGCAGTTCGACATCGATTAAAATATTTTTGGCTGATAAATATTTTTTGAACCGTGTCAAAACGATGGTTGAGTATTACAGAAACAATTTTCGTAGGAAAAGTGAACGTTGAAACGGAGGAGGTTTCCTATTCTCTACGATTTTTAATCAACTTATCAATGCATATGGGGCATTTACTTAGCTTGGTACAACATTTTCCCCACTCTCGATTTCTTTTTCGTCATTTTTGGCTCTTTCTTAGAAATAATCTTTCCTTCTGTAATATACTTCTGTATAATTAAACAGTAATTATAATTCTGTGGCGTAAATTTACTGAAATTGTTTCAGGACCACCGCACGATCAATAATCCGTGAGTTATGCCTCAAAGATACTTTCAATTTTATAGGATTCATCGTGCAAGTTTTTACTGTAATTTATTCTGAAAAGCTTTCAATTTCAATATACGGTACTCTGTTTCGGGTTGGGTTCTAATGTCCTTTCGCACGCCGACTTTATGACAAGTTACAACAATTTTTGCAAATTTTCGCAGTGGTACACGGTTGAGAAAATAATGATGCGCTACGCCGCAGTAGCTGACGAGGAATCTTCGGAACGTTTTAGCTGCCTTTGGCGCGCAATTTGGCCGAGATTAGTATGTTTTCTGAGCATTGTTTGGGCTGTGGTTTGTGGAGGATCACGGATCAAAGACAGACGTCATCATTGGTGGGATGTCCTCACTGGTGCTGTTCTCGGATTCGTTGTTGCCTTTTTCACGGTAAGTTTGGAGTTGATCGCGAGTTCATTCCAAAAAATATATTATTGGAGATCCGGTGCTAATTTGTATCATGGAATCCCTATTTTTCAGATTTACGTCGATCCGCACAGATCGTGGAGCCACGAGTACGAATACCCGCAGAAAAGCGAAGAAGTTTACAAAGAATTGTCGAGGAAAAAAACGGATGACAAACGGAGGAATGAAAAAGAGCTGAAGTTGATTGCGTCGTCGAGCTCGAATTTGGTGTGCAGCTAACGTCCAATGTGTCGCAGGAAGGACAAACGAAAAATTAGGGAAACCAACGGGTTTTTTTTATTTGACATGCATGAACATGACGAGTCAGATGTGTGAACTGAAACCGGTGCTAAAACGTTGTGGGAATCAGTTGACTCTCGTCGCCATGGCTCTTTTGTTCTTACTGGGACAGCCTGACTTGTAACTTTTCATTTTCCCGTTTTGTAAAGGGTAATTTAGGCATTTCGTATCGCTTTATACTCAGAAATTTGGGTTAATCCAAGTAAGAGGGGGCTAGATGCAAGTTTTCCAGCTTGCCTTCGTTTTCGGCCTCAAGAAATTATTGATGAATCGAGAAGGGGCGTTCTCGTTTGTAAAGAAAACGGGCGAGGAAACCCATTTCATCATATAGTGCCGTTTTCCACGTAAAAAATGCTCTCGTCATTTGAAAAGTCCTAGCATACTTTATGGGCGCTTCTAATGTGAAAAATATCGCTTATCCCGCGTGAAGATTCATCAATAAAACTTGATATTCACATTGAATGAATTTATAAACTCTACCAAAGGATAAGTCAAATGATTCTAGTGTAAAAAATACCGGAGGATTATCCGGAAAAAATTGTGGGGAAATGCAGTTTTTGAATTGCAGGAACCTGGTGCAATTTCTCGAGGTAAAATTCAACCAATCCGATATCCATGCATTTTCTTTTTGAAAGTTATGTAGCAAAACCGATGATAACTTTCAGCAATTCAATTCAAGAAACATATGAGACCTAGGGATATTTGACTGCCTCGCTCGTGTGTTCATTCATCTATATATGTATCCGGGTTCTGTGTTTCAAAGAAATGGTCGTCCCAGGAGACACGAAAATCGTTTGAGCGACGTGCAAGATCTGGGGGAATTTGTTGTAGTGAATCGGCTTGAATATTCCGCGTTGGCTGTTCTTTGTTAGTATCACTTTTGTTGCTGGGGATGCATATACCTTGTGATTGAAAGAAAATTATCAAGGAGTTGGTGACTGGTGTTAAGCCATGAAGGTTTGGATTATCATTACATTCTTGTCGATGTGCTGTTTTTCACAGAGGAGCGTGTTTTCGACGAAGCGTATATTTTTCAAGGCATCATGTCGTCGCCAATTTCGATTCCTGAGAAAAAAACTAGCAATGATGCGGTTTCGCCCGAAAGTTCGCCCAGTTTTCATGGCCTCACTTTGCCGAGTCCAATCGTCACTCGCAGACAGAGAACGAAATCCATGTAACTAGGATATTCAAATGAAGAAAAAATAAGTACTGATGAAATATGGATGATTGGTAATTAATTTTTTTCATTTTAGGACCGAGCGCCTTTATGATGCTCCCATACATCGCGGAACGGTCAAGTATTTCAGCCGTTCACGAGGACACGGATTCATAACCCCGGAAGATGGTTCCGATGACATATTCGTACACATTTCCGAGTAAGTTCTTGCAGATCAATGTCCTTTCCGGTTAATCGTTCGTGGTCTTCTTATCCTTTGTTGTGTCTTAGCGAATGAATTCTGAGAAATTTCAATGTAAAAATTTGCTGATTTTCAACTAGAGCACCGTAAATTTCGGGGTACTTGAGAGTTGAACCATACTTTTTTAGTTCAAAGGAAATGGTCTTGACTTTTGCACGACGTATTTCATGATACCTTGATCAAAATTGTGGTTTCTGTTGAATTGAGAAAAAAATTCACTTTCCCAATTTTATGCTCTATGTATATTATATTCGAGGGGCTACTGAATACAGTGCAGTATTTAAAATAAATAAATAAACGTCTTTGTGATTGTATCAGTTTTTAAAAACCCCTCTTCCAGTAATGAAGGCAATTTTGACCAGGTGAGCATAACTTTTCCGAAGATGCATTTTCAGAAAATCCTGAACGAGGGAGAAGTACAGTAAACTTTTATGTTTTATTTTTCACCGATTCCAAAGTTTTTCGAATTATTATTTCGAAACCAGGGTATTTAGAGAACGTCACGAAACACAAGATCCACATGCCGTAAGCATTTAAATTAATTGTTATACTGTATGTATCTGTTCATTGTCCGTTACATTCGGAAGAACTTCGAAGCGCACGCATTTTATGTAGGGATTTCTGGTGAATGGATTCATGGATAAAATTCACACGAACTGCAGTATTTGAATTCTTTGCAGTATCGATGGAGAATTCATTCCCAAGGCCGGCGATGAGGTGCGATACAGAGTGTGTCCAATCCCTCCCAAAATGGAGAAAATGCAAGCAGCTCACGTGACGATCATCCACTTTTGTCCAGTCAGGCATCAAAAATGGAACTATTCTCTCACATCAGCCGATGTTGAGACCGAGAATAAAGAAATCGCTGCTGCCCGGAAATCTGATGAGAAGGAACAGAATGGTCATTGAATCAACATAGTGAGAGTTCTTCTGATGAGTAACTGATGGGAAATTTTTAGGTCTTCCTCCTTGAATCTGAGGTTGAGAGGAGTTCGTGGCTGTCGCAGAAGAGTTTTAGATTGAACGAACTGTCCGTCTTAATCATTCCGTTTGATCTCCTTGACTCGAGGAACAGATTTGTATCCATGATGGAATAGCTTTCTGGAAATCGACTTTTCTCGTTCGAAGGTTTAATTTTAAGGCTGCTTTGCTGTGGCCCGCTGGCTTTAAGACAGTATCTTTTTAAGAAGCGTGATCTGGTTTTTCTTGTGTGTTTTTTTGTATTGTCAAATTTATTGCGGCTGGGAATCGAACTTGAAAGTTCTCGGGTGTTTTTTTGTTTGTGTTTGTCACTATTTGCAGCGAAGTAAAAATTCTTTTCAGATCCATCAAGAGAAATTGTTTTAGTATTTTATCCAAGCGTCGCTAAGTTCTGAATTTTTTGTAGTGAATTGGCTTTAATATTCTTCGTTGGCTGTTATTTGTTGATATAAATTTGTAGCCGGGAAGCATATGCCTTCTGTTTGAAAGAGAAAATCTGGTGACCGGTGTAACGCGATGAAGGTTTGTAATCTGATTGATTACATTCTTGTCAATGTAATTTTTTTGCAATTGTGTGTTTTTGAGGAATCTATTCTTTCAACATCATGTCGACGCGAATTTCGATTCCACAAAGAAGAATTAGCAATTATGCAGTTACTCCCGAAGGTTCACACAGTTTCAGAGAGGAGTTTCGTGGCTTTCAAAATTGAGTTTTCGATCGAACGCAACTGTCTTTCTTAATTATTATGAAGATATCAGATTTGTTCTTCTTGAATCAAAGAAACAAGATTCCTGTCCATAATGCAATAGTTTTCTAAAAATGTATTTTTCTTGTTTGAGGGGTTGAATGTGTGGTTGTGTTGCTGTGACCTACTGCCTTCAACACTATCTTTCAAGAAGTGTCATCTGGTTTTTCTTGTGTTTGTTTATGTAATCTCAAATCTATTGCGACTGGAAATTGAACTGGCGAGTTCTTCAGGTGTTCATTCGGTTATGTCACTTGTTCTCATGCTCAGTAAAAACTATTCTCAGGTCCATTGGGAGGAATTTAAACTTTTATATCGTTCTGTCCACCGGTCCCTTGGCATACGATATGTGTACTCTTCTGAGTCATATGGCTTAGAAGCCACACCCATAGGAAATTCCAGTTCGACTGAGATATGTACGCTTTATCGCATTCTCCTTCAGGTTTCAGGTATGTAAAATGCCACAAGCTGATATCACTGAGCCTTGTGATATCGGGTTTTGCAAGAACTGTGCTATAATAAATTAGGGTTCATATTTGTTCAAGTTCTGTACATGCTGTATTTTAAGTTGTTCTCAATTAGAAGGCGAAGTGCAGGATTTCCTCCGAGTTCTGGACCATATACAGTCTTCGAAATTCGATTGAATTTAATTGAAAAAAATCTTCAGAATTCAGTCATGGGCACAAAGTTTGCAATTCTGATTCATGTCCAAGAATTGCGTGGCATGATTGAGCTGGTAAGAGAAGAAAGGTTATTTAATGGATCTTTCTGATTCTGAAACATGTCCAAGTATTTTGCATGTACATCCAACAAATCATTCAGACCTACTGCTGATCTGAATGACAAGACATCTACTGCTCTTCGTTAGAAGCAGAAGATAAAAAAGGAATTTTATGTATTTCAAACTAGGTTCTATGTGGGTATGCGCATATACAAGAATTCAATGAACATATTGATATTGTACACACATTTGTTGATCGTTCAATTTATGTTCATAATAAATTTAAATTTGAACATTCTCACTTTCAAAATGTTACATTTTACTATTTTAGTCACTAAAAATGAGGCGTGCTTACTCAAGGGTACAATTTAATGAAAATGTTGACTAAAAAAACCTGGGTAAGTGCCAATCAGGTATATGGGGAATTTTAATAATCCCCAACGGATTTGTGGTTACAAGATGTTGCTGTCGTCTTTATCAGAATTCTCAAAACATAACAAAAAACATGGAATTCAAGCACCATCGCACAGCAACTGAATGTCATGAATAAGCTTTATTGATACTCCCAGCAATCATACAACCAGAACATTCAGCAACATTTAAAAAATAATGCTTTCGAAGCCCTCTCTGACATATTTAGACTTCGACGAGCCATCACACAGGCCGCCAGAAGGAAATCAGGTCACCTGGTGAAATCAGAACCACACCAGGAGAAACCCCCTTCACTCTAGCGGCCCTGTATGGACCCCCGTGAACCCCTGAGCAAAGGATCATCTCCCTTGACGGCGGAGCAGCATTCACGAGGTACAAGACCTTTTTTCCTCAGCAGCCAGCAACGGGTCACCAGGAAACCGGAAAATCGCCGCACGTGAAAACGGGACGAACTTCGAAGTATGCTTCATAGTCCTAAATAGGGGTCTATGTCATTTTCTGTCATGATCCGTTTAAAATCGTATGTGAACGACGACATAACGATGCCCTACCCCAAAAAAATGGGGAGCGCCACAGACAAGTGGCGACGCACGGGAATCGCTAGCAGAACTGAAGATGGCCGACTCAATGGGCTTGGCTTTTATATAAATGCGTGGGTGATGGAACGCTGGAACACCAGGACCGGGGTTCCGACGTTCTATCTGTCACCTCCATCCACAAAATCCCCACATGAAATAACACGGAAAAATTGAATGTATTTTCTTGAATGGACTGCGAATTTCATTAATTTCTAGCGAAAGGATATTGGTGGAAAATAGAGAATATAATCAAAATGATTTGTCTTGACAGCAGACTCAAAAGAAAAAAAAACTTGCAGTTAGAAATGGGCCAGGCGGGCATTTTCAAAATGGTTGAATATTTTTATTTTATTCGCAGGGTAGAGGATTGTTTTCCTATCCTCTGTATTCTACTGTTGCACATGTGTATTTATCAGATAATTTGTAAAAGTTTTTGGATTTACGGATTATTCATTCCATACACATAGCTTTATATTACTCAGTTGAAAATTTTTTTAGAGGGGCTTAGCGCCAATCAGATATGTATTCTGCATATTTAGCTTCATACTTTTGGACAACTAGGTATTCAAATACTATTATATATGGACATTTTTTCGCAGTGGAATACTAATTTCCCCTAATTATTATTTTTTTTAATCTGCTTAAGATAACCATACAGCATACGACAGTTGAAAATTTTGCTTACACCTATTCCAAGCTGATGCTCGTTTTACTTCAAAATTTGATGCACCAAATAAATGTACTGTACAGTATTTTACATTTCCCAGATTGCTGTCAAGCCGAAGGTAAAATGCCGTCAGTGAGAATGTCCTGACTCTCGTATACGTGTGACGCGTTTACCAAGGCAACACTCACGAACACAACTTTCTCCGTCCTAAATCGTTATCGGTTGCCATGGTTGGGGTATGGTACAGTTCACTTTGCCGAACATAAAGGAATATGGCAAAAAATGGAAACATCAACACATGGAGAGCATTGAATGCTATGCCTAAAATATTCATGTGATGGATTGATGACAAGCAATCAACAAGCTGTGCCCAAAAACCCAATATCGCCATTGGAGCGTGGTTTTTAACGACATCTATGAATCGTACGGTCAGTCTTACCGTAAGGTTTCTGATTCCCATGACGCGGTGTAGATTTACGCCTTGCTTGCACAAAGCCAATCGCCTTTTCACGCCACCAGCATGGCATCAAGTACGGTACTGATGTACAGTACTTGCAAACACCAAATAAAATGCAACACTCAAATGATATACAATTTCTAGCCACTTTTCTGACACTTAAATTCACTCAACCTCGGGTTCCGACTCGCAAATTTTCACGTAATAGCTCCCAATTACACGCTTTCCTGCCACTTCTTCCGGCCATGATTACGATACAATCAAGCTCATGTTTTTGTCATTTGTCATCGTAAATTGGCCACTTCTTAAATTTGCTAGCAAAAAATAAGTTCTCTCAAGAAAGCCTGAATTTCACGATGCCTATAATAGACGTTCTCACAGCAGTTTTTGTACAGCGCAGACTGCGCAGTGGAGGCAGTTGTACGCGGAAACAGCACATTCAAGTATGGATTTGAAAGCGTTTGCCGTCTTTTGTATCACTATTCAAGTGCATTTCACAAAAGGTTTGATAAAACTTGAATTTAAAAAATTTAATTGCACAAAGTTGATTTTTTCAGGACAATCTACGGAGATGGTGACCGACCCAGCATATGATACGACCACCGACGTCACCTCCACATATTGGGAATCATATGATACAACATATCCGGCAGGTGATGAATAAGAACAAATACGTAAATTCGATGGAAAATTCAAAAAAGAAGTGCGAGCCCATCGTCGAAAATAACTTGAAAGAACTGCAGTTGAACCTGGATTACGTTAACCTCCCTAAGTTGCTGAATAACTCCCTCCTTTGGATTTCTTATAAAGTCCCATGCAGTCAGAATTTCCTTGGAAACATTCTTAAAACGTCCCTAAGGTTTTCCACTCAAACCTCCACAATTCGAATTCTCAGGAAGCAATTTAGCAATTATTTTATAGACACAGGAAAGATATGAGCATTGCAAATTTAACTTGATACATTTTAAAAGCAAGTGAAGACTAATTGGGCACAAGAACCCTTGCGTTCATGTTCAGCATAATGTCAACTGATTTATGTGATGGTAATTTAATGCATAGAACATCACCAATTAAAACTCACTGACATTTTTTTCTTAACAAAAAGTGCTTGTTTCAAAACAAATTCAAAACCTTGGCAACTCGGATTTTTCTTGCTGGTTCCTTGAAATTTGAGGAATAGGTTTGATGATATTTTTGATATGAAAAGCAGTCCAAAAGCAAAGAAAAGCACACATATACAGTATTACTACAGCATATATTGCGCACAGATGAAGGTAAAAAAAAAAACCTAAAAAGATAGTTTAAAAGTTAGTCTGTTTTGTGATACAAAAAATGCGGCTTTACCTTGAATTTTAACACGTTTTTATTAACTCGCTTTCTTGTCTGTTTGTTTGTCTGGATCAAATTTTGCAACTCAAATTTTGCTCACTTCCCGACTAGCTAGCAAGCTGAAACTTTCAGGATAGCTTAGAAACTGATGACAATGCAATCTTTTGTGAAAAGAAAAATTATAAGAATATTTTTTAAAAAGAATAAAATAATTATAGTAGATTAAAAAATTAATCTAAAAAACCACGTTTTTCAAGTAAGACTAAAAAGCACAAAAAAATTTAGTAGATTAAAAAATTAATCTAAAAAACCACGTTTTCAAAAAGCAAAAAATAACCTTAAACGTGGTGCGCATGGAGATTGTTGGGAAGAAGTGAAATACAAATGAAATAGATGCGCACCAGATTTAAGGTTATTTTTTGCTTTTTGAAAACTTGGTTTTTTAGATTAATTTTTTAATCTACTAAATTTTTTTGTGCTTTTTAGTCTTACTCGAAAAACGTGGTTTTTTAGATTAATTTTTTAATCTACTATAATTATTTATTAGCATACAATCAGGAAAATCTCGTCATAACGAATAAAGGTTCACAATGAATTTGCTTTTTTGGTCCCGCGTTCATGAGCCACAATGTTATTTAAATTTCGTTTCAACGGATTTTTGCTTACAACGAAGCTTTTTAATGCTCCCGAAAGCTACATTGTTACGAGATTTCACAGTAGCTCAATTTGTTTAAGAGATACCAAAACTTTGAAAAAGTTTCCATTTTCTAGAAAATTAGCATAGCAAACTGTCTATATCTTATGGACACATTGTATAAATGTTGGGGTAGTATTTTGAGTTGCAAGTGTTTCCAAGTCAAATCGTCCCTATGTTGGGGTATCTGTTCAAAAATGTCAGCAAAAATGTTTAATGTCGGTTTCAGGAAGTGGTGACACCTCAACTACGTTTTACGATGCCACAGCAGTCACAACACAAGCATACGACACTTCAACACCGATGATATCGACCATCGAATACACGAACACAGTTTTGACGGATACCTCGACTAACGAGCCATCAGGTTCCACAGCAGAAACCTCAATCGACGCAACAATTTCAACCACGTCTTTGTCGGAGACTTCAAGCACATCATCAATGGATCAAACTGCAGTTTACATACAATCTGGCAATCAGTCTACAACCACCACTGAATCAATAAGTTCCGCAGCATCCGACAACAGCAGCACAATTATTATGATGACAAGCTCAACAGACATTACTTTGGATGTTTCTAGCACTTCTGCAGCCTCAACTGCTCTAACGAATTCCAGTACGTTATATGCAACGGAGGCAAGTACATTTCCTTCTGAGGCAACTTCTGTCATCATCAGCAACATCACGGATACGTCATCTACAGACACAAGTGCTGGAAGCACAACATACGAAACATCATCTGTTTCACAGATTTCTGAGCTGTCTACAACCGAAGCAAGCACATCTACATCTGATCTGAATCAGATGACTACCATTTCTGATCCACTATCAACTGACACAATAAATGGAAGCACAACAAATTCGGCAAACAAAACGAGTAAGCCAGGTCGCACCTTCATTCCTCACCACGCAGTCGTATTCACTCGAATATATTAGACGACATCTGTATTAATCTAATTCTAAGATTGACATTGAGTTTCCTCCTGATTTTTCACACGCTTTCAATGCATACAGTTGTGACAAACACAGGGAGTCCCCGCAAAACAAAAATTAATCTACCCCTGGATGCATTTTTTTTTCCATCTGAAGTACGGTTATATGATTTCTCTCAAGTCACAAAATTGACAGATATTTAATCCATTCCAGACACATACAAAGAAACTACAATAAAACTTTTACACTGAATTTTTGTGCAACTTTTCAGCAAAAAGAAAATGTGCATTTGAAAGTTATTAGTAAGAAACTATAGTTAAGATCCACGTTTTGAAAAATATTGCGTTTCATATATCCGAATTAATTACGATTTCCAGTGCAGCACACTGATTCACTAACTCTGAATGACTCTAAAAATTACAGGCAAGTCAGAGAAGTTCTTATGCACCAAAGATGTTATGGTGACAAACGGAACTTGCATTCTGAAGTTCGGATTTTCGACAGTAGTTACTTGCGCCGGAAAATGCGCATTTTCACCGATGTGCGTGGGATTTTCGAAAAATTCGGCAGACTACTCATGCGAAATTTTCTCAGAAATAACCGCAAAAGGGACGAAACGTGGCTCCAGAACGTGTATCATGGAATAAGGCGAAGTATCACGTTTTTCGGAGCAAGTGATATACAGTATATGTTTGCATTGATTACGCGTTGTTGCATGTACAGTACTATGGCACATTCCCGAAAATCCTTCGTTCGGGAAGAAAATACATACATTAGCATTTCAGAACTAGTTTTTGTACTGAAGATTTCAGTAAGAAATTTCGCATCCGCCATCCAAGAGACATTACATATGGTCATTCCTGATTTTTGAAAATACTGCTGGAAGACAGAAAATGAAGCGGCACAAAACGCGGATGCAGTATACAGTATTTACTTTGTTCACCATCAGTAACTTCAATGTACACAGAACAATCAAAATTACAGAATGTGAACCACCATCGGAGACCATCGATGACACGCAGCACCATTTCATGATCAGAGAATCAAACTTATGCAAGCCAGAACGCGCGGTAGTGTAATTAATCAGTACAGTACTGTACATGGAATACAATTCGGAATCACTTTAGCACGTAAGGTACCGCGTATTCACAAGAATATAATCGATGCACGATGCTCCATTATTCATTCCAAAAGAAAGGGTAATTTTTCAGAAACTTCTCACCGTTGAACAAAAGATTGATGCTCTGTTATACACGCCGATGGTCAACAGCACGTCGGTGGATAAGACGAAGCGCGCGAATTTCTGTTTGAAAATACTGTACTATACAGTACAGTATTTACTCGATCAAAAAATGCGATGATATATGAACTTTCAAAATTCTATACATCTCTATTTATTCATTTTCTTCAAATTCTATCACTAAAACATTTCAAATAAAATAAAAACTCCACCGAAGAGTTTGCTCGCCAGCTCGAATTTCCGTTTCTTAGAAACCAGCATAATTTTCTTCCAAGATCAGATCGCACTTCATCTTCCTCATTGCGGAGTTCTCGAGATTATCAATAATGAAGTTCTGTCACGAAATTTCAAACAATAAACTAGCGGTGAAGTTCTTGAATGGCCCGATGAATAGGAACACTTTTCCGGACAATTCAACAGACCCAACTCGTCTCTTTACGCAAATCTGAAACACCAATCGAACGCAAAGTGTGCGGATTTACTCAAGTCGAATTTATACGGAAATAGTTTGATTTTCATTCCGGTTATTCGCGTTTCACTATTCAGAAGTACTGCGCAGTACACTTTTTTAATGAAAAACAAAATGTTCGAAAAGGAAGTCATCTCGGATTCACGAAGATTACACCTCATCGTCACTGCATGATGGAAATTGTCCTTCATAGTATCGCGAGAAATCCCGGGAAACGCGTCACTCCCTCCTCCGTGAACATGTACGACGCCATTTGAAATTCTTTCAAGGGTTCCTCCGAAGTCGCAACTTGCTCTTATTCAGCTTGGCAACTGCGCTCCTTCGCCCAGCAACTGAGTCGAACCTACTTGTTCGTTGCTTGCTCCCAATCGCGTGATTAGCCTTGGGAACATCCTGTTGGCCTGAACGGATTTCGGGTTCCATTTCATCGTTTAATTTTTGCCACTCCAAGACCCGGGAGAGCAGCTGAATGTACTTGATGGCCACCGCCTCCTAGAGCAAAAACGAGTCAAAAAATAGGCCGCCTATGCAACCTTGCTCAAAAGCATCGACCAAAGGTCTTGCTCTTTTTAACCTCTCCACAATACAAACGACCTTAGGTAAACAAACGCTCGTGTGAATGCAGAGGGCTGCGTTTATCTCCATCCATAAAACAGTATACAGTAATACGGTGCACAGCAACATTCATCAATTCAAAAAAAAGTGCGAAGTGTCCAGCCTTATACCACAGATTTGATCATGCCGATACTTGGTGCTCCTGCCGCATAATTTTGTAGCCAATACGTATGTCTTTTGTTTAAAATTCAGTTCTGTATATCCATTCTGGCATAATTGGATAACCATCAGTAACATTGCTGCTGATGCTAATGTACAGTACAAGTTTACAGGTAAACTCTCTCCTCAACAATCTTTTCTACAAAAATATTCTCCTTATAAGAATTTTTTTTGTGGTCCCATAATGCATAACGTTATTATCTCCCCATGTTACGGTGGTTCTGTATAATGAAATTCTCTGTACAAAATATTTTTGTTTCATGTTCCCTTGAAGTTTGTTCTAGAGAGAGCCCACGTGTATATGTTTTATGTTGTTTTTATTGTTCCTCATGTGGTGCACATTTTCACATTGACCATCATCACATATGGTATGGTTTTATTCAGAGAGTCTTTACTGTGCAATAAATCAAGAGCACCACATTTGAGACACAATTTCACCTCATAAACCTAACACGCACTGTATCAACTGATTCATGTAAAACCTAACCGGAAATATATTTAACCAACCCAGCTGACATAATTATAAGTACTGGTGCTGTGCGCAATTTTACAAATTTTGTACACGTGTCTGCTGCTGCGTGAGCTAAGTACTGCACATGATATAGTTTCAACGTGAATAAATCAGCAATTTTTTGGAAAAGGATACAGTATATGATTGTTTCCATGAGATTTTATCCGTAAGAATAAGTGAACTACAGTACGTACTGTACTTTTATTGAAAAGTTGGAGTTAATTGAAAGGTCTCATACCTCTGCAAATGCTCCACTGACGTTTTGTTGCCGCCAACGTTCCCGAGTGTTCGTGAAAACCTTCCGCGGGGTGGGAGAGAATTTCATCGGATTTTCCGAGTTTCCCACTAAATTCGGTTTTGCGAAAAATGAAGATTCGGTTGACGCTGAGGATCGTTGTTCTAAAATCCGGTCGCAGCTCAATAGGCTGCAAACTCCACTTAGTTTCGACTTCCTTCAAGGGTTCCTCGGAAGCACAGGCAGACATTTTTAATTGTTTAAGGCACTTAAAAAGTGCTAAAACACACTTCCTTCAACAAAGCATATTTTGTGGATTCACTTTTATTTGGAAATGGTGTAAGTGAAAACGTAGTGAAACTTTCGTGCTAGAACGGGCTCGCGAATTCCAGCAGCTGATCACGCCATACAAAATATAAAACCTACAGTCGATTGATACACAGTATGAGCAAATGCTGGCTGACATATAAGGACGTGCCAAAAAATCGGCATAACTTCTGGTGAGTTTTTTCATTTCTTGGAAGCGTTCTCACATTCTTTTCAGTTTATTAAACCACGTTTTGTGCATCTGATAAAGTGTCATCTAAGGCGGAGAAAATTATTACGACCAATCTTACTTGAATCTTCAGCCGACTTAAGCTCAGGGTTTCAAAGCAAATGCTTTTCTCAATAATTTTTTCAAATGATTTGAATTGAATACCACGCCTATGATAATGAATCAAATGTGCTGAAAGCGTACATAATTTATTGACCGATTTACATCAGCATGGATCGATGTGCTGACATCAAAAGAACAATTGCGATATAATAAAGATCACGCAGCGTCGGAATCATACTGTATATGGAAAACGAGTGCGCAGAAGACGAAACATCGAAACAGAAAGTCACAAAATTTGATGGTATATGATAAAGGTTATGTATTTGTGCTCTATTTTAAAATAATTGCTCGTCTGATATTCACTCAAATAGACACGTAAATTTGGCCATGATCAAGAAAAAAAGAGTTAATGGCGAAAGGTTAGAAATTGGGAGACTGCTCTTCATATTGTATGGATGGTATTAAATTGAGTACGCGTATCAAATGAGCAAGCGTAAAAAGGAAAGTACCTAAGGGACCAAACCTGAATGCTCATAATTCCAAAAAATAAACTTGTTTAGAAACTCATTTTGTTTCAATTTTGTTCGATAAAAAAAGATTTGTGAATAAAATTCCTCCGAAGACAAACCTGCTGTGATGTGTTGAGAGCCATCCGAGCTCAGAATCCTTCCTGCCTTTCCATCGACACCGTCGTAATTTTCGTCATCGTCCCCGCGTGGCGATTCGCAGCAAAAATACAGATCATCATCACCTCCTGATGGCGAAGGTGACGATGTCGGAGAATCAGTCATCGACAGTGACATTGACGTCAAACTGAATGCGTCTTGTTCATCTGAACTGACCACGCATCCGTTTGGTGATGATGAGCCATCACGTGTTGATGGGGTCATGGCTGACTTCTTATTGCGGCGAACCACTGATATTTCTAAATTTTTCAATGAGTAAAATGTTTTCGGAAAACCACAAATTAGAGACAGGCCTCAAGAAAGTAATTCATCGTGCTTCTAAAAAATGTGGTCTTTCAGTATTAATACATTTTCGGGCTCTTCGTCTTCGATCCAAGCCCTGGTGATGAGAAAACAATAAAATAACAGTGAATGGTCAGCTGTCTGAATTGAAATTTTCGCAACATCGATTTTTGAAAATAATATTACTTCAGAAACTCCCTCGAAGCAA